AGCAGTAAAATCAGTAGCATGTGACAAAGAGGGTGCACTGAAGCAATGATTTAGCGAGTTAAATATATAAAATGGATTGTTGGAATCAAAAAAGGTTTAAATGTGCTTTGGATTCCATGGCTCTGTAGGAATGTACAAGGAACGCGAACAAACTCCTTGCTCCAAGATAACGAGAGGGAAATGTTTTCTTGGAGTTTCTGTGCACCCATCCCCCCCCCCCCCCCCACATGCACAGAGGTGTTGTCCAAGCTGAAAATAACTGCAAATGGTTATGTGAATTAGGTGCTGATTGTCCAAATGCAGGCAGACCTTTTTTTTTTTAGCGATCTTGCCACTTTCCCGGTCATTTGCATTGCAATAGCCAAAACAGAAGGATATAAATTTTGCATCTGACCTCTGATGACTGCAAATAATCAGAGTTTCTGATAAAATAAAGCAGTCACTGGTCATGCTAACAGAACATTGCAGTTCCCCGTTGAGCCTTGTAGTATCTGTTCCTTAACACAAACGGACTTGCTGCTGCTGGCAACCAACATGTTGGAAGTGGTTAACACAAATAGATCGAGTACCACTCACCACTTGCCCCATCAGACTAGCAGGAGATATATAATCTGTCCTCCAGGCTCTCATATTCTCAGTATATATGTATTTTGTCAGAAACTGACCGATGACCTAATTTAAACCACATCTTGTTATTTTTTTAGTAGCTTAGGGAAGGGAAAGCAAGTAGAAAAAGTTGGGGAGAAAATATCTGTAAGCTCTGTCTAGGATCTCTGGATTAGTTTTCCTTATTCCCTAGCAGCAAACTGTAATCCAACATCAAGCATGGAAGAATGTCTGTAGGATGTTCCCTGAGAAAACTCCTGACAACTAGTTCATCTGTAATAAGAAGTGAAAAAGGATATTTTTCCCTATTATTTGCTGGTACTATCCTTCTCTCATATATAAAAGTGATACAGAATATTACAGAATAAAAATTCGAAATAAATAAATGTACCTTGGTTCTCTTCTCTTCTCTGATGCTGTTCTAGCTATGCTTAATGAAATATTACTTTATTTCTTGTTAATTAGTAAATGACTCCTAATTTTCTGCATCACATGCAATTTTACATGCAACAGAAGCTCTCTCAGCGTGCCCTTTTCTAACATATGAATGTCTAAACAACAGATATCAGGCCCAGCGTTTCCTGCTGTGAATATTCATCACAAGGAAATACAAGAAAGTCAGTTAAATCAAATGCCCATCTGCAAGGACTTTTTGATATTAAGAGAGCAACAGAAGCTGCAGCCAACAGCAGAAAAATCAATGGAGCAAGCATTGAGATGTTTTCTGTCAAACACATCCTAAAATAATGTGCAGAATTGTGGCTGCATTCACTAGACAGACAATGGACTTGTATATGTGTGCTTTATAACATGGCACAAAGGCAAGACCTACTTGAATCACACTGAATGAAGCAGTTGATGTTCCTCACTCCAGGATATGACAATATAGAGTCATAGAATCCTTTTGGTTGGAAAAGACCCTTAAGATCAAGTCCAACCATAAACTGAAAACCCAAGCGCAAATCCAATTATTTAAACCTTATGGCTTTTCATTTAAACCTTCCCTCCTTCAGGAAGGGAAAATGCATTACTTTCAAAGGTACAGGACAAATGCTTATGCCAAGAACGAGGTTCTGACAGCAAAACAATGAAGGAAATGTCTGGCGACATGTGGGGTACAATAGGAGCCTGTCCTGGGATGTCTTCTGTTTACCCAGTGGGCAATAGGAAAAGCAAAGGAGAGCCATGTGAGGTTTGCTAAACTGGGGAAGAGGAGGAGGGGTCAGTCGATATGTGCAAGAGCAGGCTGCCACCTTCAGGGACCAGAATAGAGGAGAGGAATGAATTAAAAAAAGATCCCATTAAATTCAGCAAGGATGAACAGCCAGACTAAGAGCAGAGATTATCCCTTCCAGCTCAGCACTTGTCAGAACACAAATGGGTCTTCTGTCCAGGGACCCACATCCAGGTCCTGACCCACAAGTCAGGACAGACATTGGGAAAACAGAACAAGTTCAGGGGAGGCCACCAAGACAGTGAGGCTGGAGCACTCACGCTGTGAGGTGAGGCTGTGGGTCCAGGCCTGGCTCAGTCTGGAGCTGAGACAGCTGTAGGACATCTGAAAGCACTATAGGGATGGGATCGAGAGGCAGAGGCTGTAGGGATGGGATCAAGAGGCAGAGGCCAGGCTCCTCATGGAGCTGCCTGGCAGGAGATGATAAAGTGGCATCAGCTGAAACTAGAGAGGCTTGGGTTGGAGGTAAGGAAAAGCTTTTTCCCCACAAGGACAAGAGTGAGGGCCCCGAGAGGTTGTGCTGTCTTGGAGGATTTCAAGCCTCAACTGCCTAAAGTCCCAGGCAATGTGGTCTGTGCAGATGAATGTCTCTGCTTTGAGCAGGAAGCAGAAGATCTCCTGATCTGCCTTCTAGCCTGAATTATTCCTCAATTGGAAGGTTTGGGAAGGGAAGGTTTGAGAAGGTTTGGGAAGGTTTGGGAAGGGAAGGTTTGAGAAGGTTTGGGAAGGTTTGGGAAGGGAAGGTTTGGGAAGGGAAGGTTTGAGAAGGTTTGGGAAGGTTTGGGAAGGGAAGGGAAGGTTT